CAAAAGTCTTAGGATTGCATTTCGCAACAGATTAGTAATAGAGTAATAAATAGTTATCTTTTTGCAAGCAGGGCTGTGAGCCGATGCTCCACCTCCTCCACCCTTCTTTCCTTCATCTTTGGCTCTTACAGCATCCTTTGAGCTGCAACTAGTGGGTTACATTTCCACTGGTGAACAATTCTACCCACTCGAGTCTCAATCACTTGTAAAAAAGAAGAAAAAGAAAATATACGCAGAGGGCAATTTTCGGCTTTATTCTTAATTTTGGGGCAGGGCATAATTACATAAACTATGTTTATGTTTATATATCGAAGTCTGTTTTATATATAAAAATAGCATTAACCATTTTTTATAACGTGTAAAATTGTCTCCTATTTAATGTGATTTCTTTGTACCCTCCACACTCGTGTGGAGACATGTTGAGACGTTTTTCTACTTTTTTTTCTCCTTTGTAAAAATCCTTACAATCCTTGCAAACAAACTGCTCCGACCATCCCAAGTATGTCTGTGTTTCCTCGAGGCCCCGTAATGTTAATATTTGCATTCTGTGCATAGTGGAGGCAACCAAGAAGGCCTTGTTGGATTGTGCTGCTGCGGCGCACATATGAGAGGGATTAAGGAGAGTTTCTTTGAAGTCATGCGACTCTGCAGAGAGAGGAAAAGCTGCTCTGCTACATATGGAGGCTAATGAATGCCATCACGTCACTATCTGGACAAATCTCAAGTGTGAGGAAAACTGTTGTTGACTTGTAATGGTTGGAGTCGATGAAAGGTGGTCCACGCTCACCTGTCACCATCAGGCCCAGGAATAGTTTGAGGTTGAATTCTACTGCAGGGCTTTTTCATTCTAATGTATTTTTAGCGGATTCAGACGAGCTATCATGTTCCCTGTTTTGTCTTTATTCCACCCGTAGCTAATAAAACATGAAACGTTGTCGTTTACCAAAAGCAGGTGTTCACAGAAAAAGAGTTCACATGACGGTAATTCTCATGTGAGCAATTAAACTTAAGTGAGTGCATGAGAAAGAGACATGTATGAGGGAAAACTTTCATTGAAAGTGTGTGACTGGGACGTTTTTTCCCCCCACTGACCGTAAAATGAATGATTCTACCCAAACTCATGTAACCCTGGCTGTGTCACAGAAACCAGATCAGCACAAACACAGTACTGTAAAAAAATAGTTTAGACAATGGTAAAATGGAAACTCCTTTTAACCGTTTCCTTTTGGTAAATGATAGCAGCTGGTCACAGTGTCCTACTCCATGTCCCAATTAAAGGATCCGGGGTCAATTTAAGGATCTGATTCCCATTTCCCAAGGCTGCAATTCCTCACAGACACTCACCGGCAACTAATCCGGACTTCAACTGCTTTGCTTGCAATTATCCAATTGGGTAATGCCCTCTAGGTGCTGATGCATGAAAATTACTGGGATCTTGTCAGACTTTATAGTTAAGTTAAAGTGGAGCAAATTGAAGGCAATCTCTTTAGGTCTGTTCCAAGAGGTCTCTCTCTCTCTCTCGTTCTCTCTGTCATGTATGTTTCAGTATCTATTGCTTAAGGATCTTTTTTTTTTAATTCTTCATACCTGTTTAATGATGAGCTGTCATCAGCTGTCATGTGGAGCAGCGATGCCCAAATACCATATTTGGTCATTTAAAAGCAGAATCTTAAACATAAACTTTAACTTGGTTAAAAAAAACAAAACGGTTTTTGCTATTGGAACTTTAGCTCAGTGGTTTTCCAAGTGTGAGCCACCAGGGGGCACTAGATGGTTCTTAGGGAATTCTAGGAAAGAAAAACAAATCTAATTTTTTTAGATGGGGGGCTTAGCGTGGAAAAGTTTAGGAACTCCTCTTTAGCTCTTTTATCTTCCTTCGATCCTCAGTCATTGAACTATGAGCTAACTGTTGCATAAACACCATCAGTTATAAATGACACCATTTACTAAAATGTATTTTTATATTCCAAAGAAATTGGCAGGGAGGTAATTTTTTAATTTGTTGGTTTTCGTTCACAGTTTCAACCACAATCAGTCCACACAGTCCAGCAGTAAAATAAACTGATCCGTTAAAGGAAAATATCCAGTTTTAATTTTGTTTGAATGTTCAGTAACTTTGTCCAGTTTTACTTGTTGTTGTTTTGGTTTTGGTTTTTTTTTTTTTGGTTTTTTGGTTGTTTTTTTTAAGGAACTACAATCAAATCCCAGTAGAGTCACTCTTTCTGGGTGACTGCATAAATCCCTCTGTTGTTGTGGACTCCAGTGGCTGGCACCACTCCATACCACAGCTCCTGCCCCAGACAACTGATCTGGAGTTGGTTAATCTCATCTGAGGACTCTGATTTAATTAGCTAGTGTTCTGTTTGTTTTGTTTTTTTCCTTTTTCTTTTTATTATGCGTAGACTCTTTCACTCAGTAGTGTGTGCCTTTGTTCACTTACTGTGCCCAGAGGAGCTAATACGACATCAATGAAGGTCAATTTAATATTGTTTTAATTCATTGTTGTATCTTTCATTAAATCAAACAAGTGTCATATTACTGACCTCAAATTATTTTCTAAATGAAAATAATTTAAAAAAAGAGAAAAAGAAAAAGAAAAGGTACAGACAGTGTCCCTGCAGATAGACACGCCAACATACACTTCTAGTGGTCCATTTAGAATGACTGAGGCAATTACTTTTCTGTGATTTAATCCTTTTCTCACAATGTCCTCCAATGTGCACTGATTTTGTTCTTGGATTCCTAAAACATCTACTTTGATTGGAAACAAATGTTTAATTAAAGAAGTGCAGATGTGACCTGCTCAACATTTTAGCAGTGAAGAAACACATGTAGTTTCTATAAAATGGAACGCAGGAGTAACAGCATATAGGCTTCTCCTCAGCAGCCCCTCTCTCCTCTCTTCTATGTAGGCATTACATTGTCGTCTATGACCTCCTGAATTCCAGGTGTCAGAACAGGTTTGGGAATAATCCTCAGATGAATGAAGAACAGGTCCACACACTGACATACGTTCTACTGGTATGTTTCCCTTGACTATGACTTTTCTCCACATCCTCTCCAGGGTCCAGTCGGCCTGATCGGAGTAGCTGGTGTGATGGGAGTTCCTGGTGAAAAGGTAAAGAGTGTGTTCCTCTATCATTAGTCTGTCAGACGGCATCAGCTGACTGACTGCTGGTCGTCGACAGACCCCTGTAATTATGGCCGTGTTAAACAGGGCTTGGCTTCAGGCCAGTGGGCCCAGAACACATGTTAAAATAAACGCTCAACACCACCACATCCACATCAATTACAATATTGGGAAAGTCACTCTGAATGCTGCTGCCTTCTTCTATGTTGGGCTGCCACTGTGTCACAGCTGATCTGCAACCAGTCTGGAAGTGTAATATTGGGGGTTTCCTTCAACGTTTCGCTCTCTGTGCTACGCTAACATAAGGTTTTGTTATATTTAGCCGACTGTGACTGTGACGATGTGGTGACATGGAAAGCACGGCGTCATTGAGCTTAAAGGGAAATTATGCAACGACCGCTGTTTACTAACAGTAACCGTGTTTATAAACGGGGCGCTGCGGCCCCATGTAATGCCCCGGCAGCGTTGTTTACTGAAAACATTTGCCACAAAAACAACTACTGCATCCCCCCGCCTCCCCCCAAACCCATATAAGAAAGCAACCTTACTGAACTTTATACACCATGTACCGCCGCTTAAAATATTCATTGCTCAGGGTACCACCAGTTCGACCAACGCTAAAATAAAGCAGTACTGTACAGGTCAACCCTGTTCTGCAGAACAAGGCAGGAATGAATGTACATCAGGTATATTCAACAGCTAATTAGCTTGACTTATCCTAATGGAAATCAGGTTCCTATATGTACCACTAGGGGGAGCCCAAGTAACACTGGTGGTATGTGTACCATAGTTTGAAAACCACTGCACTGAAGAAGAAGACAATCAAAGCCAGCAGGTAATCAGACCAGACATTCTGCTCCATCAGTATGTCTGCTCTTGTTTCGTGGGGCTGTACACCTCCAACAGGAAAAGAGGTTTTGGAAATTTTACAATTACATTTTATTTTATAGGCAGCTCCCCCAATTTACCGTACTTTTATTTTCTATGGGTTTGAGATGCACTGCTGCCCCCTAATGGCTTTATACAGTAAGGGAATCCCTAAAATTATGCACAAAGGGTATTCACTCTTATGGCCCTTTCAAATGACTGTTGTGGCAGAACTACATATTTGCTCTAATGACACATTCGGCACCAACATAGTGAAAATGTTTGTTTTTTTTGCCCACACCCACCTTATATTCTTTTTTTTATTTATTCCAGAGACATTCCAATGCTGTTTTATAAACAGAATCAGGTACAAGGGGTAAACAGTGTCTGCTTGTTATTATAGTTGTAAATCTCTTCATTCTCAAAAGTGCAATAATATATACAGTCATTGACTTATATCCAAAAACAATACTTTTTTTTTTTTTTTTTTTTTCAACATTCCCTCGACATCCAAAAACAATACTTTTTTTTTTTAATTTTTTTATTCAACATTCCCTCCTTTGCTCTCATCTGAAGCTCTTTCCTCCTCCTCTTTTCCTCCTCCTTCCCGTCCAGAAGCCCCCTGTGTGTCAGAACATGTTCTCAGAATGGGGAAGCCTAGTGCCTGCCAGACTGTGGCTTTTTCAGCGCCTCCTAACACACAAAAGCCTCCTCCCCATTCAATCTGTCAGCACCAGCCATACCCTGACAGCTCACAAAAATTCCTTTCACCTCATATAGTTTATACATATATTTATATATTTTAGTTTAACCTCAGCCACTGACTCAGACCTCAGTTTCCGATACAGTGCCTTTCAGCTGTTCGTCTCCCTCACGATAGCGATAAGTCAAGTGGAACGGTACATGCAGAGTCATGAAGCAGGGCTGAAGCATCACTGACACCAGTGTGAGGCGGGTGAGAGTGCAGCCCTGACCTGGTTTACTGCTCACCTGACTGCCACCAACTGGGTTTCAAAGTATCTTCTTGCTTTAAATTCCACTTAACCAGCTGTCACAACCTCGTGAGTTTAGAAAGATGCTCTCCAGTTTCACTCCACTTAACTAGGAACAAGTGTAGGTGAGGTTTCAGGTCATGCTTTTATGATGAGTTTTTCATTTCCTTTCTCATTGTTTTTCCCTTAGGGCGACCGGGGTCCAGCTGGTCCTACAGGTCCAGTCGGGGAGAAGGGGCCGAGGGTAAGAGTCACTCAGAATCAGCTGCACAGAACTGCCTGTAGTCTTGAAG